CCTCGGTGTTGCTCCCGCGCCTCGCTCAGCCAGTGAGCGGGAGCCGGTCTGCATGTGGGATCCGAACCCTCGGATGGGAGCACCGCCGCGCTTCCCAAGCAGCTCACTATCCAGTGCGCCACCGGGCCAGCCCACCATTATTAAACCCACCATTCAACTCTCTCCAGTTTCTGACAAATGCCTTCGTCTTCTGAAGTTGTAGAAACACGAAGCTTTTTTATGATGTGTTCTCCTAACGAAAACACTTGCATACCAGTCCAAGGTTTAAAAACCAGAACACAATACAGGATGCAAAACACAACTTCCCAGCGCTCAGGTAGGACTGGGCCATTGGTCTGCAGTGGTGGGCCGCTGTGCCAGGCTGGGCCATCAGTCTGCAGTGGTGGGCTGCTGTGCCAGGCTGAGCCATCAGCCTGCAGTGGTGGGCTGCTGTGGTCTGGGCTGGGCCATCAGTCTGCAGTTGTGGGCTGCTGTGCCAGGCTGAGCCACCAGTCTGAAGTGGTGGGCCACTGTGGTCTGGGCTGGGCCACTGGTCTGCAGAGGTGGGCCACTGTTGTCCGAGCGGCAGCTGAGGCCATCCCTGGGTGCAGACCACACTATGCTGCCCAGGAACAGCCAGGTCCCTCAACCATTGTGCCCTTGTGTGGGACCCTAAAGCTCCTTCATCAAATCCAGCACCTCTCAGAGCTTCTCCACAATCATCAGAAGCAGAGAACCTGTGGGACCAGCCCCCATCCATATGCGGCCAGAGGAGCCTCACTTGGAGACCACCCCAAACCCACTCCCTCTCCCGTCTACTCCTGCCCAGCCAAGTGAAGCGCTGGCCCAGTGATATTTGTCACTGGAGGATGAAACATTTGTGAAACACAGGCAGAGGTGCAGCCGAGAGAGAACCATAGAACCACCCCCCACTGTGCCCCTCCATCTGATGTTGTCAAGCTCACAATTATTTCATGCCAATGATAGTCTCTTCTCCTCATACTCCTGAATGTGGAGGCGTCTCCACCCTGATGGTCAGGAACGGAGAGCACACACTCCCCAGAAGATAAAGGCCTAGACACCTGCAGTCTGCTCACGGGGAACCACCCCACACGCTCCCCTGTGAGGACCACAGCAAGGAGCAGATTTGGCCTGGGAAGGCAAAGCCTCCTGTGTGGAGGGACAGGGACTCCAACTGCAGCAGAAGGCACCTCCGTGGCCCATAGCCAGGGGCTCTGAGGCGGGCTGAGGAGTATTGTCTTGAACCCACCCCAGGTTCAAGACTGAGCACCAGAGTGTCAGCCCATGGCTCTGTCGTCTTAACAAATTAGAGATATTCCAAGAGGGAGTGATGTCTGTTTATGTGCTTGGAGCAATCATGTGACCTTTTCAACACCAGGCTTGTCAACAAGAATTTGCTGAGACCTCGCACGTGTGCTCCTGTACTGTGCCTGAGCCCACTCTCTAGAAGAGCGTCCACTGCATCCATGGCGGATGTCCCACATGCAGACGTCCCTCATCCCTCCTGCCCAGGCTCCACAACTAGCATCATCAACTGAGAGTTGTCTAACGTGGGGCATATCACTGCCAATTTGTGGCAACTGGTTTATTATGGTAGTGTGTCTCTAACCCAAAGCTCCTCACATCTGGGTTTTACCAATTTTATGCAATCGGCAGCTCTCGAAATTTGAATGCATTCTTTTCAGGATTTAACAGAAGAGAAATGGATGATAATAAGGGATTATGTGTTTTGATTTTTGAAACTAATAATCCAAGACTACTTTTATGTGACAGCCAAATTTTTTATTAAAATCTCAGTCACCTTGGAGGCATTCGAAAGTCTAGTTCAAATCACCTTGGAGGCATTCAAAACCCTGTCTTGAGGGACAGTATTATAGGGATTTTCTGTTGTTCATGGGATGTTTGACACACTTGAAGTCAACAGTTTCTGTGAACATTTTACGACTTGTGTGAATTCTCCAGGTCATCAAACCTAAGTGAAGTAACCGAGCACATCCAGTCCATGGGCCAGTGTTCCACCCTTGCTAATAGCATGGTTGTCTGCACGTGAGCTTCATGCGAGGGGACCAGACATGAGCGCCCAGATCTCTGATGCCTGTGCACTGCTCGCTGCACAAAGAGACCACAGGGCAGCCAGGCGGAGGTGCAGACAGACAGAGCCTCTCTCAAAGCCGTTTGGTGAGAAGTTTCAGGACTCTTAAGACATTTATACATCTAAACTCGATACCATAAGTTTAAGATTAAAATTCCACACTGTAAACTCTAAGTCCAGAAAAGCTTAATGCACAAAGATGTTCACTGATGTGCTCACATCACTGCCAAATTTAAATTTCTAACCATCGGAGGACTCTTTCATACTTTTTGGTAGCATTACATGAGTGAAGATTTTGCAAGCCATATATAAACATTTAATGATATTGGAAAATGCTTGTGAGATATAAACTTAAGTGAAAAAGCAAGGCATAAGAATATAAATGAAACATTAGTACAATTACGTAAAATATTCTGTAAAATATGGAATATAATTATGTGAGAAAGGAAAACTTAAATATTAATGCTTATATCTAGATGTGGAATTATAAAGTA